CCCCCCCCCCCCCCCCCCCGCAGATCAGCCAAAGTTGACTAGATGCTGCCATCTACTGTCCCTGTATATGATACATTTTTACAGTCAGAGCCACACTGTTCCATTAGAGAAAAAAAATAGATGAAAGTAGGATAATTCCAAGAATCCAATTAATTGACACAGATGGTTTGTTCAGTCATCGAACATGTCAAGAGTGCCTGTAACAGCCGTGGCTAACATGAACTGGAGTGTATATGTTATGTGTGACATGCCTCTTAAGAAGCAGAGTCAGGGGACAATTCCTTATGAAAGATCTGGGATCCAGATCCAGGACTGGTTGGACTGGATCATAAGATGTCATGGTGTCTGGTCAGTATTTGAAAAAATCTACATATTTAGGACTGTTTTCCCCAGAAGGGAGCAGTTGATACCATTTTCAGTCCAACATTTCTGTTGGTGTGATTCAAAGAAGGGAAAAATCCTACAGAAGAAATTATATAAGTCTTGATAGCAATGTTTTTTATTAGTCAACAAAATTATCAATCAATAGAGGCCAGTATTTTAATGGGAACATACTGTACTTATTAATCACTGTAGCAAACAGGTTACATCAGCATTCAGATACACAAGACCTTTTGTCATAATCAGTCGGCTAGCTTTTTTTTAAAGAGCTATAAGTCTTTTCATCATTTTTTTTTATTTGTAAGAGAGCCATGGAAGGGGAAGGAATTAAATAGAGATGGAAGAAATATAAGACACAGTCCAGTTTTGCCACCTTAAATGCTAACAGGATTGCTCTGCTGCTAATGCACATGTTGTAGAAATCCAGCATTTTACTTTTATAAAAATCAATAGAATCTGAGTTTCATGATTGATATTTAAGTTACCAGAAATTGTACATCTTTTTGATTGCAAAGTAGAGTTCTTTAATGGGAGATGAACCTAAACAAAACTTGGAAGTTTGCATTCTCCATAAAAAGATTTCATGGTTTTCAGCAAGGGTAGGATGCTCCTCTTCCCCGTCCCCCCTTAGGTATCTAAGCCTCTTAGCGGTTCTCCTTGGCTACCTACTGCAAGTTCATTCTCTCTTAATTATACTGTATTATGCAACTTCACATGAAGAAAAGCTTAAGCTTATGGGCTTGCCCTGGAATAGTAAAGATCTCAGAATGCTAAAAGATCAATTCTTTCTCCTGTGTTTACCATCCAGTATAAATTTTATTACAATGTGAAATTTGCAGTAAATTAAAATTCAGAATGTGAAAGAGTTTCATTGTGAGCAAGAACCTTTCTGAAAACTGCTTTTTTATACAATACAGTAGGTATCTGCTTCATGCTAGTGAGGGTATCATGTTGCAGGTATGGGAACAACTCATTCTTGCATGGAATTGTCAGGCACTAAAAATGGCATAAACAGCAGTACCAGTTCACTGCGTGAATGTGCATAGTTGAATTTGAGTTTAACGCTGACAGCTATGTTTTAACATTGACAACTATCTTGAGTCATCTCAAATAGGAGGAACATGAGGTGATGCTGTTAAAGTTTTGATGAGGTTCAGAGTTTCTACGTGCTAAATTATTCTTTCTCAACTGATATTCTCCAGATCTTTTCCATTATAGCTCCTAGAATTCTAGACACTATGGCTAGCTGCTTGGAATTCTTTGCGTGTATTGTTTATTTATGTATTTTACTAGGCTTATAAGCCACTCGGATCATTGACTAACTCTGAGCAGTTTACAATCCTATCATGCATAAACAGGATTCAAACAACTAAAAAATAGAAACAGATAAATAGCAAACAATAATGGTAGCTCCAAAGTGTTTGAAGACACTGATTCAAGAAAGGTAGACAGATTATTTCACGTTTACCTCTACTGGTTTTACTGGTAGGATTTATTATTTTCCTCCTATTTGAGATGCAGTTCAAAAATCATAATTGAGATAGACCTAGTAGATTTTTATTTTTGAAACGAATTGTTTCCATTAATTTATAGCATTATGCCATGATCTGATATAAGAGATGGGATTTCTACTATCATGGGAGAAGACATATTGTAGTCTCATAGAACTTTATGCATCTGAGTATAGCATTCTGGGATTCCTCCCTCCTCTTTTTAGTTGTATGGTTTATCTAAGATAAAGTGAAAGGTTTCTGGTTGGGGGTGGTTCAAGTTAGTACAGTGGGTCTTTGCCCAGAATTTCAACCAATAAGAATCAAGCAGGTCCCTACATTGAGAACCGCAATCTGGGATTTTGCCAGCCTTTGGAGCACTTTTCTCATTTATATGAAACCCATATAAATCTAAAGGAAAACTTCGCTATTTAGGAAGTCTTAGGAATTACTTTTATACTATAAATAATGTGGAAGGGTTTTGCCTTGATTTTATGGTTTTACTGTACTGCTTATATAGATATCACAATTTTCTGATAGTACTTCGGGCAGTTCCTTTGATGAAATCTTCAGTGTTATTTCTATAGATGCTGTCCCCCCACCCCCCACAAGCCTCTTGGGATATTTTTGCTGTGACTTGTGTTGCTCGTAGCGGGGCTATTGCTGAGAACAAAATCTATAAACCATACAAACCTATCTTGAGAAAAACGCTTTTAAAAAATTAAATTTGTCAGGAGCAAAAGCTGATAAATAAATCTAATGAAATCATGAATATGGAGATAAGAACAATTAGAATGACACTGTTTCCAATATTGAGTTGAAAACCATTGTGGCCATGGAACACAAATATGAGCATTACCTTATCTCCATCTTTTTATGATGAAAGTTCTAAATGTCTGGCAGTTAGAGCAGTCTTGGCAATAGATTCAATTTCAGAATAAGGACTTCATTGTTTGTGATTGTTCTCTTTTGCACAGATTACATTTGTTCCAAGTTAGAGTTTAGAATTCAGACAGTATTTCTAGCTCTTCATTTTTAACAATCCTTGTTCATCTATAAGCGGTATCCACTAAAGTGAGTTTATACAACTCCATTAACTGCCATGTCGTTGGATGAGTAGATAATGACAATGGAAAACACCCATTATAATATTACATAAATGTTGCTGGATAATAATTGTACAGCAGCGTTCCCCAGCCAGTACCTTCCAGGTATGTTGGAACAACAACTTCTGTAATCCTACAACCAGATTGACTGAGAATTACGTAAATTGTAGTCCTGACCCACATTGAGAGTTCCAGATTGGAAACAGTGCTTCCAAGATGTAGTTGCTTATTCAGAGCCTGATTTTCACCTTGTAGAAATAATCGGCAATCTTCCATGATCTTCAGTAGAAATATGATGACTTGCCGCAGATGTACAGCTTGTACATGGATTGTAATCAGCTGTGGAAAGTTCATCATAGATTAGGCCAGCTCATAGGCTGGCACTCTGAGAATGTCCCCACTTGGTTGTTGACAAGAATCCCTTTGGAAATTTTCATAGACATCCTTTTCCTCTCCCTCTTGCTCATCACCTTACAGAACTTCAGGAACAACTGCAGCCATGGCCACCTCTGCAAGTTCCCATTTGAGCAAAACAATAAAACAAATGTACATGAAGCTGCCTCAAGGGGACAAGGTGCAAGCTATGTACATATGGATTGATGGGACTGGTGAATTCCTGCGTTGTAAAACCCGGACATTGGAACGTGAGCCCAAGAATGTTGAAGGTAAGCAGACATGTTTGAAATGAGAGCTTTCCTGGAAGATTACTTCCCTGCACGTGAAGGACTGTTTTACTAGTTATGCAGGTCACCATTGTGGCTCTCCTCTCATTAGCTCTGAGTTTTGACCAAGAGCTATCAAGCCAACTACTACTATTACTACTGCCTTGGCTTTTTTTTTCTTTTTAATAATGAAATTAGGACAAAAGGCCACAAGCAGCAGCAGCAGCCTCTACTGTCGTAGACTTAGGCTAGAATCTTAGAGATGCTTACTTGGTAGTACACCCCATAATACTAGTAGAACTTATTTTTGAGTAGATGTACATTAAGCGGCAGTCTAGTGAAAGAACAATGGCAGAGTTAACAGGCACTGAAAATAATAGTCTGCCAAAGTTCAGTTTCCTTTCTAGCCAGACTCCTGGTTGAGTTGCACATTGGTGAAAAGATGCTTGTATTGAACTGAAAAGCACTGGCCATCCTTAATAGTTTTCTTTTGGGAAGTCCTGTCTAGAACTGTGGTTTTAAGTTCTCAAACAGACCTATCTATTTTCCCCTGCTGTTCCCTATATCTGGAATCCACTTCAGAATATCTACTTGATATCCTATCACCCCTTTTTCAATCTCAGCTTTTCTATGAATAGAACTGAAAGCTCAGTACATTATGTTGTTAGCATTCATTCCCTCTTAGCTTCACCTTTCACTGCATCCCAGTGGACATAGGAACTATAGGCACTTTGCACTAGAGACCTGTTGCATTTTGGGCTAGAGAATGCTATTACCCTAATAGTTTTATAGAGATACAGTGGTACCTCAGGTCACGAACGCTTCTGTTCACGACCAATTCGGGTCATGAACAGCTCCGTTCGCAGAATTTTGCCTCCGTTCGCGAACGCCGGATCGGGTGACGAACAGGATCCGCGGCCTTTTTCCCTCCCGTGACACGTGCTCGTGGCTTCCTGTAGGGAGGGGGACTCTCCCTCCAAGCAATAACCACCTCCCCACCCACCTTCCTGTCCTCCACACCAGAAGTCGTGTCGAGCAAGGTTAGCG